GAAAAACAGTGGGCAGAAATCCAGTGGATGAGTTAAACCCAGTGGACGAATCAGATGCAGCAGAGGATGAATCAAATGCAGCAGAGGACGAAAATCCAGAGGACGAATCAAACGCAGCAGAGGACGAATCAAACGCAGCAGAGGACGAATCAAATGCAGCAGATGAAGAAAATCTCGAGAATAATGCCATTCCACTAATTGAAGTGATATCCAATTCCGCTGAATCTACCGAAAAAATACGAACAAAAGTTATTGCGGTACTATTCTTGTCTATAATAGCCCATTGGCTAGCGGTGATCATAACTTATTATACAAGACCCATTGGGTTCGGCTGCAGGTCTAAATATCTTACGGTGATTTCGTCCATTTGGACGTTCAACAGTATAGCCTGCTATATTGTTTACTATCTGCGGGATCGTCCACCACCAGGCGTAGATAAAGACAATAATAAACTTTATATTTTGTTTCAAATATGCGGAGTGGCAATTTTTGTGCTTTTAATTGGGTTTGGCGTATTAAGTCATGACCCTTCCTGGTGGGTTGCAGTATTTGGCGATTCCTGCAGCGTTTCGTCTTGTACTGACGAAACAAGCTTCAATGTCTAATTATAATCATCAATTACGAGTAGAATACGCATTTTCATCAGATGCAGATTATCAAAGCTGTAGACAACAGATTTGTTCTTCTTTTTTATTCTTTAATCTTTGCATAGCATAAGGGTACTACAAATAGATTTGCCAAATAATGATAGCGAAAACTTTTAATCTTCTAAAATATAAAGATTGATATTTCAATAAAAAATAAAACAGAACGTTTTTATAGCCATTATGCACGTTTTATTGTCCATCAATTTTATCTGCATGTCCTTTCTAAAGCAATCCTTTTATGTGATTAATTGGTTTTCGATTTTGTACTTACGTGTATTTCTATGTTTACAATCAACCATCCCGTGACCTCTTGACCCCAACTCCTTGAAGAACTCTATCAATCAACAAAGCTAGGATTGACAAACCGATTTCTTATTCTGCAAAACAAGTAGTCAATACAGGGTACTCAGGTGAAAAGTGACAAAAGCTGAGACCTCGAGATAGATCGCTCAGCCAGCAACAAGGACGTATTTGATGTTGGTTGACCGCTATGTTATGTATTACGTCCTATTATTTTTTGTCTACTTCTTTATTCTTGGATTAAAATTTCAGATCGGCTTCATTGTTTATTAATATAGTGATAACTTCAGTCAATATTATTGTGTAGCAATGAAAATAAATGTCTTGATAAGATTTTGCGTTCGCAACAATTAGTAATTAGTAATCAGTATAGTCATGTTATTAGTATCTGATAATTTGTTGTGCGTAACTGGAGTCGATCAAGTCTGCAGCTAAACGGTTTGACTTCACTAATTCCGCTTACAGACATAAAAATGATACATTCACCGAATTGGAAATTATAATACAAATTTTTTGTAATACACAGGTAAACCCGATAAGTCACGCTGGGCATGGTTATCGAGTGTAAGTTTACCTATGCACCATCTAGCCGTCTGGTGGCTTGATGGATCGTCTCCCTCGATACCGCATTTCAGTGATGAGTCACGAAATAAACTTTGTTTGAATGGCGAATATGATTTGTGCCATCAAATGTGAAACTATCTCTTTACCTTGTCGTACAGCTAATGAGCCAACAATAATCTGATTTCCAAAACGGATTGGCGACATAATAATGCATATCAGATCTCAAATGTCTCAGTTTTTGTCACTTTTGCACCCGTAAGCTCAAACTAATAGAACAAATATGCATACTGATAAGAAACACCAACATATTTCTTATCTTACTTTTTTTTGTTGGCCGATAAGGCCATAGAATTTTTTGCCATATATAAACAGTTAATTACATAATCTCAAACCTTATTTACAGTTTGATGTATGCCCCTACATATAATTAATTTGGGAAGAGGATGACAATTTAGGACGATGATAATGTAGGGAAATTGTTTGTTGCACAAAATTATATGCATGAATTATCGCTACAGATAATTATGCAAGGGACGAAGAAAAGTATGATACTGACATATGTGAGTTGAGCGTAACTTTGATTGTAACTTCTTTACACAAGTATAAGATCGAATATTAGACCCTGTTTGTTAGTGAAAAGGCGCTTACCTATTTTTATTCTACTTAAAGTGTTTTCATCAGTACAAGGTAATACAACATTACTACGCAAAGTTGTGCAATGAATGATAGAGTTACAAGGTAACAACTTTTCTATTAATAAATGTTAGCAGCAAGCAGTCAGAAAAGGTGAGAAAGTCGCTTTACGTTGATTTGTATTTCCTGAAGATAAAGTAAATGAACAGACAAGACCGCTGTACAGAAAGAAAAGAGAGAACAACAAGCGGTGAGTAATTGCGACTGCTGCAAAATTGAACAATACCGCTGCAAAAGAAGTGACAAGCGGTTTTAGCAACTGCGGCTGCTTCGGAATTTTTGCTGCGTTTGGGCGTAAAACTTTTTACAATTATAGCAATTTGACAATAAACGAGAAAATTTTTTTTACCAAATCCTAATTAAAATAATATCGTATTGGTTCTCTGTAACAGGTTTTAAGTCTAATTTTATCTCTCATCTTTTTTTTTTTATTTATCGTACAGCTGCTTTATTATTATCACATTGACCAATGATTATCTAGCAGTGATGAATACGCAAGGTTAACTTTATTAGCTAATCTCTCTACATATCAACACAAATTGCGTAAAGCATTGTTCTATAGAATACAGTAAGACAAAAACCGCATAATATGTACCACGTGTTACTAAGTTATACGCGTATACTTTTGTAATAATACAAAGAGTTTACGACGACGATACATCATATAACAAATATAGAAATTTTTGAAAGCACTGTTTAAACACCATTTAATTATTAAGTTTGAAATTACGACTATATATAGCCTTATGATCTGTTGATAAATAAGCATCATTGCATTGCAAGCCAAAAATCGAGTTTGTAACAAAAAAAGCACTAAACATTACCTAAGATTAACATGACAGAAAACGCATCCTTATCCGCATTTATAACAAATATATTAGTAAACCCAATACCCCAATATTTGTTAGGAATTCTTCCCGCAATACTAGTTCTCGGCGATTCGCCGTTTTCGACGTTATTTTCCAAGACATCACATATATTCTTGTGCCTTGCGGCACCTTTTATTGGTTTATTTTATTTTCTCATCAATACGGGCCAGGGCCCAAATAACAATGTTATAATAGATCCGTGTGTATATTGGCTCCTGCCAAACCGCTTTCCCAATAGGGCATTTCCTTTCGGATATCATTCACAAGGTATACGATGTAACGCCGAAACCCGAAATACTCTCGAAAGGTGCATTTTACCCTGTTCGGCCCTGGAGCGCTTTGCTTGCTTCATTTCCCTCTACTTTATAATTGTTGGGGTATTTGTCGGGGTTGTTAGAGCGATAGAACCATGCTCGGTGCACCAAGACTGGCCATCTATTCCGCTGCTGTTTGCGTGGACACTTCCTGCCCTTGTATCAAGAATGATTAGGGGAACAGCTGTGAGCAGAAATCCAGAGGATGAGTTAAATAAAAATCCAGAGAATGATGCCATTATAAACGTATTACCCATTGCCGCCGCCGAATCTACCGAAAGAATACGAACAAAAGTTATTGCGGTATTACTCTTGTCTATAACAGCCCATTGGCTGGCAGTGATCATAACTTATTATGCGAGACCCGTTGGGTTCAGGTGCAGGTCTAAATATCTTACGGTGATTTCGTCCATCTGGACAGTCAACAGCATAGCCTGCTATATTTTTTACTATCTGCGGGATCGGTCACCACCAGGAGTAGATAATGACCATGATTACCTTCATATTTGGTTTCGAATATGCGGAGTGGTAATTTTTGTGCTTTTGATTGGGTATGGCGTATTAAGTCATGACCTTTCATGGTGGGTTGCCGTATTCGGTAATTCCTGCAGTGTTTCGTCTTGTACTGACGAAACAAGCCTTTAGTGGTTAATAGAAAAAATTATAATTGTTAATTACGAGTAAAACACGCTTTTTTTATCAAACGGCAATTATAAAAGTTCTTTCTCATAAAATAAATTTCTATATAGTCATTGCATAGCATAAGAATAATGTCAATCATTGATATTACTGATGGCTTTATCGTCGCAACAGACTCGTAATTGGATTACTCAGGTGTAGTCGCATTTGTGGACATAAAGAATTATCCGATGCGATGGATGGACTAAACAACTCGATGAGTTTATTAAGAAATCTCAATTACAGTCAACTCTGTCTATTACTATACCGGTCCAATTTCGCTGCACCAAAAGATTATACATTAATCTCACCTCCTTACAACGGTACCGGTCTCTCGTTATAACGGCAAAAAAACGCCAAACCACTCACGCCGGTATAGACGGAGTTGACTGTACAACTATTTGGAATATATTCCATTTGATTGCATTTATGAAAAGGTATGTAGAAGCTTCACTTTATGTGATCTACCTACTTTCCCAGTAATTTCACTTGAGATAGCAAATGAGACAGATGATTCATATTATGACAAGGTAAAACTATTCAATTATGCATCATGTTTATTGAATTGTTTGGATAATTATTGATTATTTTCACTAGTTATGTGCAAAAAAGTATTGAAATGTTAGTATGGATTATGCCTGGCGTGTACATAGGAGTTCACTAAACTCTCCCTTACAAATAATAAGACAAATTTGCCTTCTAGAAAACTAAACCCTATTATTTACTAATAACATAATTGGCCTCTCCTCTATATTGCATGTTAAAACTGGCTTTAGCAAGTATCCATAACTTGGTAATAAAGTCGTAGTATGATTTTAAAAACTCAAGCGGAGGGCTTCCTGCAAATTCCGATTTAAAGATCGTACTTTATTAGACTGTAGATAAAGATGAAGATAAGCGTCCATCTACTTACGAATTCCAAATCGATAATTGATCTACAGCTCAAGAGCGAATGAAGCTTCAGATCTATTCCCGGTCAGTTTGTCTTTAGCCTGTGCTTTTATATCCGTTTTTCCAAATATAAGGCTAAAATCTACCGACTGAGCGAGTCCGAGATTAGCTTTAGGTAACTCTACAGTAACTGACTTGTTAGTAAGAAATACTGACACAATAATAAGCATAGAGAAAAGGTTTAGAACATGTCGTTCAATGTACACATTCACTACTTTCTACTCATTAATGACTTACCAATGAAAAGCTGTCCAAACGGCTCCACACCGGGATCGTCACAATATTTTGCTGTATCTTCACGAGTGGTGTATATGTTAATCTTCATTTGCGTCTGATTACGGCGTGATGACACCAATTCATATCCAAATTTAGAATCAACGGGTACTTCCATGCCACGCTGAGCAAGACGTTTGAAGATGTTTCGACGACCACGACGCGAGTGATGATGATGAGGCGGGTCTCCTGTATCGGAAATCTCAATTCCGCACGTGTATTTTAGGATACGAGTTCCTACTGCCACGAACGAAGTGAAACTTGGTCCTGCAGTCACATCGAGACTTGGTCCTTTAGTCAGATAGAGGCCTGTTGTTGCAATCATATCGAGACCTGTTACGAATGATGCGTGATCGTTATATAAATGACCGCACATGATAGTACAATATCACTTTCCTGGGAGCTTTCCTTTCCTTACATACCATAGTATACCGCACCCCGTGCGACAGCAGCAATAGATTCGGATGGAACTGCAAGAAGTGTCACTTTATGAAAGAATTCACTCTTAACCCTCTGCACTAAATACATTGATTCTGAAAAGTCTCCGATCAAGAATATTGCTGACATAGCTCTCGTCTTGCCCAGATGGGTCCTTATTTATTGTAAAATTCTTTCAACTACTCGATCAAAGAAACTTTTAACAGTTTGTAATCCAGCTCGATCATCCATTCTGATTCCTCCATTCGTTCTTTTTCCTCTCCCTGAACGTATTGCATCAATAATGGACAGATTTCTTCAATATCGAAGTCCTTCGTAGTAAACCTGTCCCCATCGAATTCAAATTTGACTCTAGCGCGGAATTGCTGAATCATGTGTTGCAGAGAGACATAGTGCTTTTCCTCAAGGATCGCACAGCCGATTTGCCTATTACTGATGCAATATATTTTATGAACTCACGATCAACGTAGGCGCTGCCGCAAAAGTCACCAGTGCGTTCGGTAATTTCGGATAGTTTGTTGTCAGTAAGAAGAGTCCGTGTTGTCAGGTCTACTGTGTCTTCACCACAGTCTACCACTAAAAAAGTAGCTGTAGGCCGCTTTGTAATTAGTGACGTGTCTCGATGAATACGCAAATGCAAATATTTCTAGTATACTTACAGCCTGGGTTAAGATGAAGGTCTTTTGGCAACGCTCTTACGCAATATATCGCAGCCGCCTCGGCTATTAAGAAAAAAAAAATTATTAAGACATTGGAAATACAGCCAATTTCGATTAATTATCAGCATATATTCTTACGTTCACTGGTAAACTTTAAGCCTTCCGAATTTAAAGTGTTCATTATTCCCGCACTAAATGCGCATGCGCGCATAATATACCGTGCTTCCTCATCATATTCTGCTGGTACGGTCATGATTTTGATTACGTGAGAGTGATAGTCAAGTTTTGGCCATCTTGTTTGCACTGCCTTCCTAATAGACTACGAAGTAGCGCCCACGAAGAATGAACAGACGGTTGACAATTGAACAATCAAGACGTAAAACTTCAGTTATAAAGCTCATCTGATCTGTTCATCATTGGATTATTGGGAAAGCTTATAAACGGACATGTGTCTTTCATAATCCCTAAGACATGAGCATTACCCACCTCATTCAGTTTTTCAAGATAATCTGTAATTGCTTTTCGATAGTCTAGCCCTCTCGGCAATCTTGGTTTTTTATCCTGAGCAATGTTCCCCAGATGCAATTTAAACAGCTCTACGGAACGAGTCTCACTCTGAGCAAATATTCTCTTCATTCTGTATTTGGGACGCTCAGCCAATGCAGGATATCCCCACTTGGTTACGTTCCATTCATTATCATACTGGAGAACGGTATTTGTTTTCAGTGGGCCCTTTTATAAGCGGTAGTATTTTTATATAATTCTAGGCACCTAATATGTTCATACCATGTGTCTTGGCTTTCGATTTGATCTGGCTTTGTTTTGTTAGCAAAGGCATAGCCTATTGAGAGGATATAGAACAGTAGTCTCGATTTGGATACATTTAGTACGCATTTTTATACATTATAGCGTTTACCCGAGAAAATCTACAATTCGAATTCGAACGAAGTTTAATATTTGCTTTTTCTTGATTCTGGCATCGTCACAAACCCTGCTACATTTACACTCTTCCTTCTCCATACGCTTACCAATACCGACTACAACACGGAAATCCATTGTGGCGACATTCGGCAGTGACAGAAAGATAAATCGGCCGTAAATTCTATGATGATAGTGAATTATTAAGAATAATATAATTTAATGCCGGATTATCGTATTAAGATTCTGAAAAAAGGTCGCAAACTATTGTAAACATACACATTGCAATATAAAGAAAGAAAATAAAGACGGAGGGCATTCACAAACTGTACGACAATTAGTATACTAACAAGTTAAATCAAAAATCTGCTCTTTTCTTGATACATTTCTTGGTGCATGAAATTTTGTTCTGCAGATCATTAACAATCACATGACATGTACCTCTGAAATGTGTCTTGAAAAATTACATTACTTGTCCAGACGCTTCAAATTTCGAATAAAGTAAAACTCGACATTAGTACTAATGTTGCAGATTGAACAGTACATGCTTATTTATATAAGGCACTTACGTTTTTTGAATCTCTGGTTAATAAAGTTGATCGAATTAACTCATCTCATGCATCTTCGGGGATTCTTCTGTGCGATTGATATTCGTTAGTGGCATATTCTGCTAATTTGCCTGCAATTCCATGTCTGTACAAATCCATATATCGCCACGTTTAATCACCCAATTCCATCTCCGCTAGCTCCAATATGCTTGCTTCTGTATTGATAAATTGAGGTTACTCTAATAAATTTGCCTCTTTCATCTCGAGACACTTTTTTATGTGCGGGCTATTCTATTAGTTGGTCGAGGATAGTGAAACAATACTCTGCTTATGGTTTACTATGTATGTATGTCGTGTGTATATATTGTGTAACTTTTTATAACTATTATTGTAGTTTAGTCTCTTCCTGCTCTTACTGATAATATTAATAATTTGACAGATTAAAACGAAATCGGATAAAATAAAACTTTTGAATTAATTACTGTATACTATGAGGGTTATATTCTTCCGTGACTCCAATGATAGTGTCACAAGAATTTCAGATCATGCGTTGTCACTTTCACCTATATTTGTCCAAAGCAGTAGTACACGTAGTTAAGAATATAAACCATAAGGTATAAGATATGCTGATTATTGCCAAAAGAAACAGTTTACAGCACGAGTAAATGTAATTAGGCTGAGGTCGAAGCATAAACAAAAAACATGGGTTCGATCTTTACAATATTTAAAATCAACGCTTCTGCAGCTTGCTAACTCAATCTACGTAAGCAACCTTACCACATTTGTAAATCACTTTACGTGTTACCGTTACCGTTACCAAACAAATAATGTACGAGTGTGGTCTATTTAGGCTAGGCTGAACGTAATATTCGATTGCAGCTACAATCGAATTCTGGAAACTTTCAACTTGCTTTTTGTTTGAGGCGACTTAATTTATCTTGGAAAGATGCATACATATAGAATTTATTCTAATAGAACATTCAAGTAAATTGCTTAAAGTGTTGGACAATGAGTGACACAACATTACGACCCGCACAACGCAAATGCGCATGAATAGTCGATAAATGTCAGCAGTAAAACAAGTTTTCGGAATCAGTGAGTGAGAAAATGGCTTTGATACACAATTTATTAATTACCCGAAGATCAAAAAGTGGCAAGCCGGTTATAACTATGGCTGCTACAGAATTTTTATAATAATAGTCGCTGGTGTCTTGGTGTAGAACCTCTACGATTTGACGAATTAACAACTTTTTCCATTTGCTAGGTACATTTTATCTGTGAAATGGTATGTAATTAATTGGGGTTCACAAAGCTTCGACGTCAATGAGATAAAGCGTCTTATCAAACCTATTACATTGGAAAAAAAACATGCTAATCAAATTAAGGATTTAGTGTGGGACATAACCTTGACTTATTTTATTAGTTAATAGTCCCGTATCACCTCTTTGCATTCTCTGTATCCTAACCTTCGATTTATTTCACATGTACAACAGACTAAACAAGATAGATTCACGGACGTATCGAATTGGATAGAGAAAATAAGAATTAGGTTTCCAAGCTTAAAGTAAAGAAGAACGTTACGTAAACTGATAATACAATTATAGCGTAAATGCCTTTTGTACATCCATACTTTATAATAATAATAGTACAACATATACGGAGATCAAAATCATATAACAAATATAGCAATTGAGCATTAGTTTCATTAAACCTTGAACTCAAATTACAACTATATAACAAGCGTATTTATGATAGTGTTGAAAGCATCCTTAAAATCATCTGACCTAATAACAACGCAATGACAGGAAGCGAATCTCTATCAGTCTTTACAACCGATATATTGCAAAATCCTGTACCCCAGTACCTCCTTGGAGTTCTTCCTGCAATTCTAATTCTCGGCGATTCGCCATTTTTGACCCAGCTTTCAAAGGCTTTGCATGTATTTATATGCCTTGGATGCCCATTCGCTGGATTGTTTTATTTTCTTAATATAAATACAAGGCTAAATCAGAATAATAACATTGATATAAATTTTTGCGCATATTGGCTTCCGGCAGACCGTTTCCATGGTGGCGGATGGCCGTTCGGTTTTCATGTTCGACACATAAATTGTAATGCTGATATTCGGAACATTCTCGAAAGATGCATATCGGTCAGTTCGACTTTGGACCGTTGCGCTTGCCTATTATCGCTCTACTTCATAACCGTTGGAATAATTGTCGGAATAATCAGAGCAGTTGGAACATGTTACGTACAGCAAGACTGGCCATCTATTCCATTGCTATTAGTATGGACATTTCCGGCTCTTCTTGTAAGAATTATTAAAGGAAAGACAGTATCCAGGAATCCAATTGATGAATTACGGAATGTCGAGGAAACAATTAATGTGCAACCCGTTTGCATTGAAGGTGCTCAAAAGATACGAACAAAAGTTGTGATGACATTGGTATTGTCTATACTATCTCATTGGATGGCAGTGCTCATTATTTTTTATACTCCCCCAATAGGATTTGGGTGTCGGTCTAAATATCTTACAGTAATTTCGTCTATCTGGACATTCAACAGCATAGTCTGTTTTATTTTTTACTATCTGTTGGATCTTCCACCACCCGGGGTGGATACCGACAATGATTACATTTATATTTGGTTTCAAATATGCGGAAAAGTAATTGCGGTGTTTTTAATTGCGTTTGGTGTGTTAAGCCGTGATCCGTCATGGTGGGTTGCTGTATTTGGAAATTCATGTAGCATTTCGTCTTGTACTAAATAAAGCGAAGAAAGCAGGTTTTTAATTGACAAGTATTGGTTGTTTTTTCGATATTTGCTAATTACGTGTAGAAGGCACGTTTCTGATTGTCAATATTACGGAAAAACATAAATTTTTTGTTCTATATTTTACGTAGTAATGGGTAATTTAACAATGATTAAAGCATTATAATTAGTGGAGAATACAAATAACAGTGAATTTACTAACTCCAGTTACCACTATACCAATTATTCCGATACATATGCAATATTTGAATACAGCAAAACCAGCATTTGATTATATGAGCTAAAAATGACCAATGTGTTCAATATAACTGATGACGTTTTAGCTTTGATCTAAAAATAGCTATTTATGCATAACTTGTGAACTTGTTAACATTAAATCTATCATGTTAGAGAGTAACTAACATCAAATTAGTCGAGATGAATATGAAGTCATAACATCATTAATATAAAATCATCTCTATATAAAACCATTATTATGAACTCCATTTACCATGGAACCAAAGAAAGAACAGGGTGAAAAAAATTGGTTTATAAGTTTTTAAAATAACAATACCAAAATTCTTCAGAATATCTAGATAAAGAAAAATTACATATAAAATTTATCAAGACAAGAAACAAAAAGCAAACACAAATTTATGATAAACCAAGAAAAAAACGACACCATGATCAAACAAAAGATCATTTCTTATAGTCCTTGGCTTGACTGCTTGAACACATTCGTTGAATTTTGATTCGCATTTCACTATTTTGACGCAATTTGTTATTTTATTGTAGAATGCGATCGCTCTTGAAAACATAAATATTAATAAAGCACCAGAGTGATTGCATAGAGGAAAATATTCGGTGACTAAAAGCCATTAATGAGTATAACCTATTTTTTGGTCGCTCTAGTGCAAATTTAAATTTATTATTCTTGTTATTAATATAACTAATACTTTTTGACACCACTGGTTAACATTAATTTCTTTAATTTCATTATAATTGTCTTCACTTTTCACGTATTCCCATTTTCCTCATAAATCCATCGTTGAACTGCCACCATTTTTAGGTAGCGCAACGCCGATCTACTGATTTAGATTCACATTTTATATTTATCCGCAGTCTGTCGTAAGTTCACCGACCGTTAATCATATTCCAGATATCTAATGGTAATAATACGTTCAAAGAATGGCTAAAGGCAAGCATTCAAGAAGGTTCAATCTATTGCTGTCCGGAAGATGACATAAAGATTGGTCACGGAAGATTTGGAGTGATTTATAAGGCAACAATAAACAAATCACGGGTTTATCTTTGGCAGAAAGCGGAACATTCTTTCTGGCATGATCGTTGCGGTAAATATATCGTTTGCAAGTAAACATGGGGATTCTGAAGAAAATTTGCACCAGCAATTGGTCAAAGAGGTTGCATGGGCATTGAGGGGAAGGAGGGTGTCGGATCGCCACACGTGGGAGAGCGTTCGTGTAACGACCTTGGGATTTAGTCGTCTTCCGGCGGAACTCTTAGG